CCCCTTGCCCCCCCCCGTCCACCCCCCCCCCCGCCATGCACAACCCCCCCAATGCACTCTCTGAACACGCCACCCACCCTTTGCACCCTGCTCCTGTCCCTGCACCACCTCCTGCACCCTCTGCACCCAGCGCTGCAGCCGAGCTGCCGGCACGGTGCCCTGCAGCCCCCCCCTCCCTTGTTGCCCCAGTGCCGTGGGGCTCGGTGCCGAAGAGGGGGGTGACACGGTCCATCGTGCGGGAGCCCCCGGCCACGGGGCATTGCCAACCCTGCAGCAGTGGCTGGCGGGAAGGACGATGCAGCCATTGCTGGTGGCTGGGGTGGGGGGGGCCAGGACCTTGGGGTGCTGCATGCCCACGGGTGCCCCCAGGGAGCAGGAGGCAGGCAGAGGGCAGCTGCCAGCCCTTCCCAGCCCTGTCACGGCCGCTGCACTCTTGGAGGAAGCCGCTCTGCTTTTTCACCCGGCGCTGGTTAAAAATACCACTCCCGATTTTAATACAGCGGCGGCGAGCGCTATTTTGGGCCGGGAGCAGGAAGCGAAACCTCGCGTGGGTCCCGGCCCTGCTCGTCCCCCCCACCTCCGAGCCACCCCCCGAGGTGAGCCGGGCGCCCGGGCGGCTGCGCCGGCACGGTGCCCGGAGGTGCCGGGGGCCGTGGGGGCTATTTGAAGCCCAGCAGCCGGGCGCCCTCCTTCACCTTCTGGGCCTTCCAGCGGAGCAGGCGGATGGCACGGAGGCTGAGCCGCAGCACTGCGTCGTACTTGAACACCAGCTTGTAGAAAGCGTCGGTCATGAGGGCACCGCTGGGGTCGGCGTGCTTCAGCGCGGCCATCGGCGTGTACGCCACATTGGTTTGGTGCCGGAAGGGCGGCCGGGCCGCCTCGATCACCCGCAGTGTGTGCTGCATGTGGGGACGTTACTGTCCCCTTCCTGTCCCCATCCCCTCCTCATCCCCATCCCCATTCCCATCTCCATTCCCCATCCCCTTTCCATCCTATCTGCATCCCAT